AAAGGATCAACAATAATGCACGGGTTTGACAGTGTCTGTCGTTGAACCGGGGGCAGCGTCGACTCTAACACACGCCAGTTAGAACGTGCCCCTCCGTAACCTGGCGCTATCCAGCAGAGCCCGTCCTGGCATCTACCCTCTGACCCAGCTACCCTCTGCTGTCCCTAAGATACACTGGCAAAATACAAAACGACACAGGCGTAGGGATATTTTTGTGAGAGAAGCCACCATGCCTGTGACGGGGGGCCTGGTGCATGCACTGTGCTGGCCAGAAAGCACCAAGTGAACGAGGCAGGGTCCCTGCCTCACGAGGCAGGCAGCTGCTCGTGAGCTGGAGCAGGAGGGAAAGGGATAGACACAGCGACACCTGTGTATTTGCTCACGCCTGTACTCAGTTTTGGTTGATCCCTCGTTCCTGATTTATGTATCCTCTGTACCTGCCCTGTGCAAATGGACTGGGACCTCAAGGGTTAAGCTCTGTGCACGGAGGGTGCCCTCACTGCGAACAGCTTCCCCAGCACCCTGGAGGGTGGCACCATTCAGTGAGCCCTGGCTGTGCCCTCTACAAGAAGGTCTAGGCCTGAGCCCTGGGGGGCTGGGGGACACTCTCTCAGCTGCCCTGCCTTGGTTGTGGAGGTAGGAGCCGGTCCTGTGTCTGCAGGCACCAGTGCATCACGTGCAGCCTCCCCGTCCAGGTTCCCGTGTGGGTGCTCCTCACAGAGCAGTCCCTTCCTCACGCACGCCTAACACAGAGTGCCACCGATCCAGTCGGCGGAGCAGGCACGACTGCCATGGGCCAGTGTGGTACCGGGGTGACGACAGGAACATCAAGACCTCTGAACTGTTATGATGGCAAACGGCCTCACCCTGCAGCCAAGGCAGCACCTGCCGGGGTCCCGGGAGCACCCACAAACCGGTGCAGGGGCACGTGGCCGTCCACCCCGCGCCTGGGGGTGCGCGCCCGCCGTGGGGTCCACCCGCCCGCAGCGATGGGCACCCCGCCCGACACGCGCTCAGGACTGAAGGGAAGCCGGTCCCGCGCACCAGACCACAGCCAGGCTACCAGGACAGCACCCGAGCTCCGAAATGTTAAGTTTACCGATACTTAAACGTTCACGGTAATTCACGAATTCTCTAAGACTGGATGTGTTTCCAAGTGAAAGACAGCTAGCTATCCTGTGCACAGTTCCCACAAAAGGAATCGTTTGACCTTTCTTCAAAACTGTCATTAACACAAGGCAGCATTTCAGAACTGAAGGGAAACCAACATACAGTTGAAATTCCTCCCCTGAGTCTTTGGGACGGACCGTGTAAAACGGGCGCGGAGCAGCAGCGTGTGCTGAGGGCAGCCCGCGGACACCCCAGACAGAGGCAGCCGCAAATGCTGTGTGAGCACGGGCCCCCCAGGCCCCCGGGGCTCAGTCCCGCGGAGGCACCTTCCTTGAGGTGCGACCGCGTCCACCTGCTCTGCCTCTTTAAAGAGCGAGAAAGCGCGAGCCTGTCTCACGAGGGAAGGTCCTCGGCCGTGAGCATGGCCACAGCGGAGCATCGCCTCTGCGGGGACTGCGGGGACAGACTCGCAGACGAGGGCACACGAGCACAGCGAGGGGATCGGAGGTATCGGGTGGTGCTGGGGACTGTGCGCAGACCCTGGGCCGGCCGGCTCACCTGGATCACGACGCGGGGGGACTGGGAGAAGTACCAGAGCGGGATCCCGAAGAGGCTGATCAGTGCGGTCTTGGTCTCATACGTCTCCGAGCAGCGAGTGCTCAGGATGCTTCCACCTGAAAGCAGAGGTCGGAGCTGCCTGGGTGTCTGCACCGGCCGCCGGGAAAGCGGTCACGGGGGGCCCGTCCCCGCCGCGGGGGCTCACGTGCAGGTCTCTGTGTCCACAGGGAACCGTCTACTCTATGATGGGCCCCAGGCTCGCTCACTCTTCTGCCAAGCCGGGCATTCAGAGACTGCAGCCGCTTCAGGACACAAGGGAAGCCCCCCCCGTCTGCACTACGGCAACTCTCAACGAGCTTTCGTTCCTCTTTCTAAATAAATGACAAATCGACAGGCACCAGAGCTGCCTGACAGGTGCGCAGGTGCGTCTGCTCTCAGAG